TCGACTCACTGTCCGGTGAACTATTAATTTTGTCTGGGAATATCATGCGCGACCTGTCAACCTTTTTTTTTTCTCTTGTACGATTCATACTCGTACAGATCTCCAATATCCAATAGAGCTAAGTCATCTTAATTTAGGTTACTTACATTATTCCTATCCAAGTCTCCCTAGTCCCTAACTGTAACTGATTTAGAACCGGCATGCACTGCACATTATTCTTCGCATTGCACAATGACATTGCACATGTGTCAGGAACTTCCATTTGAACAAATCTCACGTGCCGTCTGGGTCAGCAATTTTGAAAAGGTGGCAACACTATTTAAAGTTAAACTTAGTTCTGAGGAAACCTTATAGTATTTGTGTAAAGTATTGAATGTGTGATTTTGCCAGACAAGTTTTTTGTCTGGCAAAATCACACATTCATATTATCTTGTACCAATAACGACATTACAAATCAGATTAAGTTGAATTATAAATAGATAAGATGGCTATTTCCAAATTTATAAATAGGAAAATTTAGAAATATACCACAAAATGAGAATTTTTTCAAACCCTCTTTGTTAGCTTGGTGTATTGAAAACTTTGGTGTGAATTGTCTTCATGCCACTCTCACATCTTTCCATAAATGTTATAAAATGATAAACATTTTACAGTGATAAACATACAGAAAGCATTTATAATATATAGTATTCATTAACTAATCAGTGTATATCATAAATAACTAGCTTTTCCAAATCTGTTTCTCATATGGAGATGTCAAGTTAGGAATTTTGACATGGAATTTTCCTCTAAAACCATTGTTTTTCAGTATTATTTTTTTGTAGTTTGGTCTTTTGTAAAACTCAAACTCAATGACAATTTTTTTTTTTTTGAGATACTACATAATTATTTTAAGTACTGAGAGGTACAACTGTCTGTGTTAAAATTTTGTTTTATTTACCACAAAAAATATATAAAAGCAAGCCCTTTCAATGTGCATAACCATCTCAGCAATATTCAAAATGGAATATAAATTTTAAAAATGTTTTTGAACAAACATTTGAAGAAGAGAACATGTTTTTAAGCCTTACAATGAGAGCATGTTATATTCGAAATAGTTTCAGAAAAAGAGCATTAAGCTTTGTGTACTATTGAGATTTGAAAATACATTCTCCTCTTTGAATGTTTGTTCAAAAAAGTTTTGTAAATTTATATTGTATTTCAAATATTGTCTAAGGAAGACTGTTATGCACTGCTGAAAATGCTTGCTTTTATATATTTTTGAGGTAAATAAAATGGAATTTTCAATTTTGAATCCAAGTTTCATAAGCTTCATATAACCTAAAATCATTGCTTACAATAAATAGAAGTTGTTATATTTAATTACTAAAGTATCTTTGAAACTATATTCTATTCTTGGAAGATTTTACAATTAACAAAATGAGAGATTTGAAGAAAAATTAAAAGAAAATTGTTTTTAAATCTCAAGCATTTGTGAAAAGATGAATAAATAGAGAATTTTAGTCAAACTTGTCTTTCATGATATCAGATAGTCTGTTTAATAATTTAATACTAAAATAGTATCATTTGAATTTAAAAATTATTTACCTATATTTTTCTAAACTTAACTTTTCACTAAAGTTTCATGTATAAATTATGAAACTTTAGTGAAACATGAACCATCTGTTAATAATTAATATTAATAATTAATAATTTAATATTAATAATTAATCCATTCTGATGATATGAAACCGTGCTGTACAATTTGTTTATGCTTCTAACACAATAAAGTGTTATAAATTAAGACACTTGGTGGGTTTTCTCATCTTTATTTAGTTGAGTACAGTCTAAGGAACCGTAACTGATTTAATGAGCCATTCGCGGTTTCACTTTATTTCGGTATGTACTTAGACATGCATGGCTTAATTTTTGAGACAAGCATATGACTACTGGCAGGATCAACCAGGCTTAATCTTTGAGACAAGCATATGACTACTGGCAGGATCAACCTTAGACTGTACTCAACTAAATAAAGATGAGAAAACCCGCCAAGTGTCTTAATTTATAACACTTTATTGTGTTAGAAGCATAAATTAATCCATTCCTTTTTCTAATGCAAAATATTTTAATTATTACTATTGCTATTTCCTTAAAAATTCTATAGAAAAGTAAAGGTAGAAATCTCTTTCCTCATGTAGAATTTGGGTTATTTAAGGTATTAAAAATCACAAGCATATCATATTTAATCTAGCATATCTTCCCCTCTTATCTATTCTACAGGTTCTATTCATGTACTACACCTCTTGACTTTTTGCATTTGTGATATTTAATGTATTGGCATGATAATGTTTTTAATTTTTATTAATTTTATTTTGTAGTTTTTATATTTTTGGCCTTAACATATTATATGACTTTTCGGTATTCTACACATCTAAACTTAACTTTCAGATAATAATAATAAAGACAAGTATAATTTATCTTTTGAAAATTCCTTTATATTATTTTTATTCAAATATGTCATTATAATTCTCAGTAAATTTAAGTAATTTAAGACAAAATCTTTGGTTTGTTTTTCTTTTTTGATTCTTTCTGTCCTCTGTGCACTAAGTCCATTTCTTTCATACACATCATGGAGCAACAGATGATGAAGGATGGGGTGTTACATAATTAGGCAGACTGCCCGTGAAAAATTTCTCAGGTTATTTTGACTGCCCAAATTCTATTTGTGACAGCCTCAATGCAACACTGACCACAACTCGACTTATATATGGAGCAATAGGCTACCACCTTGGCCACCATTCAGCTGTTTATTTTTTCTTCTGAAATCTTCCTTTTTTGCTGTAAGATCATTATTTCCTTAATTCAACTATCATAATTAATTCTCCTTGTCAGAAATTTAAACAGAATGTATATTTCAATTGCTATTTTTTCCCCTATATTTCTTCATATTTAGATCCAACTTTTTTATCTTAAGTAGAAAATAAAATCAATGAGTGCATTTAATCTAATATTAACTTGACATTTATATTACTTTCATTTCACCTATTTGTAAATAGATTGTTAACATTTATCTTACAAATAATTAAAAATCATCCAAGTGTTAAAATTTAATAATAGATTTTCTGTCATAAATTGTTGTTCTACTGTAATTGCTGTACAATCTTGAAGATGCTAACATAAAATTAATTGAAATATTTAAATTTTTTACCTAAGTGTTATAAATTAATTAAACCTAATACTGTAAACATAATATTTTTTAAGATCTGTTTATAACATTTTTTTAAGCACTGTAGTTCATTAATCTAAGTAATTTAATAGTTTTAATTGTCTCACTATTAAAATGATTTTTTTGTAGTTTATTAGTAATTATTGTAGATACTACATTTGAAGAAAAATTTTAGAAATTTATGTTATATTTTACATATTTTTACCAACACAAGCATCATCATTGTAAAAAAAGTACAAGAATAAGTTCTTTGTTTCACATAGTAACTGCTATAGTTTATCACTTGACCATCATACACAACCCTGTACAGCAGCAAAAAATATTTATTAAACTGGAAAAAACTAAGGTTTTTAATCATATTTAATGACCTTCATTGGATTGTTGTTTGAAAAATTGAACATTTACAAGTACTAATGGAAATAGAACAGAAATGTGCAAACACTGAATGTGTTTAATTATAAAAAATAAAATGAGATAGCAGATTATAGAATTTTTTATATTTAAAAATGTTCAGTATTTGCATATTTCTGTTCTATTTCCATTAGTATTTGTAAATGTTTGATTTTTGGAACATTGACCTAATGGTCATTAAATGGAACTGAAAATGTTAGTTTTTCCAGTTTAATAAACCTTTTTTTGTTGCTGTACAAGATTGTGTGTAGATGATTAAGTTCTTTGTTTTACAGGAATCTTTTTATTTACAAGGTTACCAGTTATATAATACAAGACCTTAAACTCTGTATCTAGAAGATAAATGTTATGCATTGATTAAATGTCTTAATTTGTTTTTATCCTGTATCTTAAATACAGTTTATAACTGTTCTCTACAATTGCCAAATTCCTAACTGGATGCATCTCATTAAAACTATACAAGACTCATTTAATTTTGTAAAAATATTTATTGCCTTGTCTTCATTGAAATAAATTATGTGCAGTTTTTATAATCAAAATGATTTCTAAATTATATAATTCTCTTTATATTTGGAGATGTAGAAAATATTAAGAATATAATAATTTTCTAACATTCTGAAAACATTAATTTGATATGATAAACATACAAATATTTAAAAATTTACTGTTTTGTCTTAAAATCTTAAAATAGCAGAAAAACAAAATTAATTTTCTTGAGATTTTTTAACTCTTTTTCCTGTGGACTTCAAGAAGATCCTTCTTCTCATGTCGGTTGTGGTTTGGCAAGGCCTGCAATGGGCACGAGAAACATTAGATGGTGATGACAGATGGTAACCCAACATATCTGGGATGGACCATCCTTGAAAACATTCTTAGGGTTTTTCAACTTTCTAGATTCAATTCTGGGATCCACAGAGTGATAGACTCTTTTTTCCTGTAATCACTGTGGGTTTGGCCAGCCTGGAATAGGGATGGTTGGGTGATGAAGGATGGGACCTGACATATTCGGGACAGAGCACCCATAAAAAATTTCTGGGGATGCTATCCTGGATTTGATGCCAGATTTTCCAGAGTGACAGACTGATACCTTAATTGCCTCAGCCATCTGGCCAAATGATTCTGATTAGGAATTTTATTATTAACCTAACAGTTTATAAATTGATACTAATTTTTTATTTTATATATATTTTACTTATTATATCTTCTATCAGATGAAATAAGTAGTAGTTTCGATCATTTAACACTTGTCTTATTTGCTGTAGCTTCAGTAGTCTTAATGACATTCAAATATTAATAATTTTATAAGTTTAAATGTTTTTTCATTTTATAAATCTGAAATATAATTATAAAAATGAAAAATTAAAATTTTTGTATTATTATTTAGGCACTTCTACAAGCCCATGATGTTTTGGCACATGAGGTATATGGGAAAGATGCAATTCAACTTATATTTCCTTATGTGAATGATACTAAAGAAATGCATGCCGAAACTAGCATTGAGTTGGAAAATGTTACGAGAGTACGACTTGTGCAGTTTCAGAAAAACACGGATGAACCAATGGTTAGTAGAAAGCTGTACAATGTAATATCATAATCTGTTAGTGTGATATTAATATATAATCTATATTGGTATAATGTCTGCTTATTATAAATTAGATGTTAAAAGTAAATTTTAAATAATAATAAACATATCAGTTTGTTAAAATCATATAAATTCATAAGAGGAATGAACAATGAGCAGTGGCGGATTAACCACCAAGCTGAATATGCTTAAGCTAGGAGTTCTGAAATGGAGCCCAAGAATAAAAAAAACAAATAAGCAAATAGTTTAACTGATATTTTATTACACTGATACACTGATGTGTTATTTATCTTATTTAATGTAACTTAATGTCATTTTATTCTATGTCGTTCTATTTGAAAAAGGCTAGGATGGGAAGCCTTACTAAAGTTCAGAGTATGGGATCAGGTGCTAGTTAATCCACTATTGACAATCAATCTCTGTGTATTTCTTATTTTGATTCTCTTCATTTATCTTCATTTTTTAATATAAAAGTGATGGCTTTATAGTGGGACAAGTGAGTGATTCAAAAATGAATTTCTCAGAATCATGATTCATATTAATCTGAATGTGAAACATTAGATATTTTGCTAAAAGAAAGTAAAAAAAATCAAATTTTCTTCCAATAAATATTTTTGTAATGTGATAAATATTGAAATTTTTAATAGAATGACATTTTATTTTTAAATAATGTTTAAATATTGTTGCACAAAATTGACAGCACCATTTATTTCTGGACATTTTTATGTGTTCGTATATTTATAAACACAAATATTCCAATCTGACAAGGAGACAATGTCCAGAATTTAAAAATTGTATTCTATTTTAATGTACTGATGTTACAGTCAAAACCTGTTTTTAGTTAGAACGCGTTTTAACTAGTTGAAACTAGTTTATACTGAATGTCTTTGTTAAAACCCGTTTTGTCTAGTTGAAACTGGTTTATACTGAATGTCTTTGTTAAAACCCGTTTTGTCTAGTTGAAACTAGTTTTAACTCAAATTCATTTTTGACTACAGTAAATTCTAGTTTTAACTAGACAAAACCGGTTTTCTCTAGTTAATTTACTGTTGTACATGTTTTGACTTTAGATAAAACTAGTTTTAACTTTTAACATTAGTTAAAACTAATTTTAGCTACATAAATATGTTTGGGGGAAATAAAGTTATGTATAGTGATTTGGCGGAAGATGCCTAACATTTTGCTTATGAAGAGAATTACAGTGCTAATTTGAGTTTAGGAGCTTTCTAATGAAAATATCATATTCTGGAGTATGTCTTTCAAATAAAAGTTTGGAGTTTATTTTAAAAAATTCTATACTGTGTTTGCAATGACGACTTTTTCACTGTCTGGCATTTTAAGCATCTCACCCCAAGTATCTGGGTGAGATGCCAAATGCCATTAGGGTAAGATAACAAATATAATTGCTTAAAATTAATTTTTGAATTTCTTAACCAAATTTAATTTATTGCATATGTAGTACAAAGTACTTCATAGTAAGTATAACAGCACAGTATAAGTATTGTTAAGTTTCCGCCCGTTCTAACGTGTTCTATAGCTAGCTGAAAGCTTTTTTCAGTCCAAAAACTTTTTTGAGAAGTCCTTATATAATTTCTATGCATATCCTGCAATAAAACGAGAAAACAAAAGTTTATTAAAAATAGGCATATTGGAAATCAATTAACAAAAAATAGGCACGTTACCCCAAGAAAAATGTGGCATATTTTCCATTTGTTGGGGTAAGATGCCTAGTAGAGTCACGTGCTCCAGCATGTCCGATCGGGATCGGCGGTAGCTGACAATGGAAACTTTAGAACCTTAACTACATCACACATTAATTGTTTTTAGCAATTTTTAATAAATTCCATTTTAACTTTTAGTTTAAAATTATTCTAGAAACATTTCACAACAAAAACTTCGTTCTTATCTAGCTTTTATTCTTCTCGGATGTAGAAAATGAAGTAACGGTAGCCAACTACAGCTTTCCGCACTCAATATTGGCCCAACGATTCATCATACAAATACATGACAATATGTGACGTCACCGTTTGAAAATATCAAAAATTAGGCATCTTCCCCCGCTTACCATCTTACCCCGAATCACTCTATGCGTTGCAGTCAAACCAGTTTTTAGTTAGGATGCGTTTTAACTAGTTAAAACTAGTTTATACTGGATGTGTTTGTTAAAACCCGTTTTGTCTAGTTAAAACTAGAATTTACTGCTAGTCAAAAATGAATTTGAGTTAAAACTAGTTTTAACTAGACAAAACGGGTTTTAACAAAGACATTCAGTATAAACTAGTTTCAACTAGTTAAAACGCGTTCTAACTAAAAACGGGTTTTGACTGTAACACTGACATAGATTGCATTGTTAAAGAAGACAAAACTACTATCGGATGTCCAAAAAGTTACTGTGCAGTGGAAAAAGTTTAAGTGGAACATCTAAGCATCTGGAAATTGCTGGTGAACCTTTTTTTCATGGTATCTGTAAATTTCCATTGTTATGAGACACATGCTTCATCAAGAATATTTGCCACTCAATCAACCCTATTATCACTTGACCAATATGGATCTGCACTCTCACTCTCGTTTATTGCAAAGTGGAAATATGGAACATACATCTTACAGATGCATGTCTCTTATGGAATAGCATACATATAACTTTAATGTCATTGCAAATTTCTTGCTACACAGTAACTTTTCAGGCATCCTGTATAATAAATTTAAATTAATATAGTATTAATTTTAAAGAACAGTATTTGAATGCTATTTATTAGTTTTGGAAGTATTTAAGGATTATATAATAACAAAAATAAAGGATTTAAGGATTATACTTTCTATTATATAGTATTTAGCATTAATGGAACTGATATTTTCCAAATTTATTAAATTATTACATTAAATGATAAAACTTAATAAAAGTAATTAATTATTAAATTTTATTTTATAATTATATTTATAATTTATTTTATAATTTTGTCATTTGACTTTCAATATTGAATTGTAATGAAGTTAAATGTTTTATAGTTTTTAAGAATTTAATATCTTTTTTTATACAAGTTGGTTATACAATTCTATTTAAATTGTTAAAGAATGTCCTGTAAGCTTAACTTTCAGTATTAGCTTTGAGAGAGTGTCCTGTCAGAACAATAGTGTAATTGTACTAGTAACTGATATTACTAAGTCTGTTTCAAGTTTGATATGTTGAGAAACATGTACAGTACTTGTAAATATAAACTTTTCTTTATATAAAATACCATATTGAAAGACGAACTTTTACTTTATTGATAGCTAGTTTCAGGATTATTACAAAAAATATTTTTTTGTCAGTTGTATACAAAATTTTAATAATTACAATTCACAGTTAAAATATAATCTATAATTAAAAACAAATTTTTAATATTTGCAGCAAGGGTGGCCAACCATTGTCATGATAGGAGTCTTATATCACCTATCAGAAATACATGAGAGCCACATTCTCTATATTATGTATATAGTAAATATCACTGTTACTTAATTGATACTCTATGACTGGTAGGACAATCATTTAACTCCTTCAACTTTATGAATGTACCCTTAGCTTTCAGTTACTTTCTTGAGGTTAAGTTGTTAGTTACACTTATGATCCATCTGTATATCATACTATATAATAATCAGAAAACTTATAAACATATCATATATGTATAAGTAATATGTACCAAGTTTATAAAAAGAGACTGTTCAAGTATATACAGTCACAGTAAGGGTCTAGAAGAGCTGCATGCAGTTTGCAAGCCTAGTTTGGCCACTGTGGGTTTATACTATCATTAATTACAAATAGAATATTTCTTTAAAAGATTCTTTTCTAAAATATTGTACAGATTTGATCAACTTATTCTCAACAGTAATATTTTACCAACTAACTGATGTATTGAAATCTAATTCAAAAATGAAAGCCTCGATGGCTCTCCGTTGGAATAATGATTACATTATACGTTTTTATTTTAATTCTCTAACAGTAGATAATGCAGCTGAATATTTTTCACGTTTAACTGGTTTATTTTAAAATTTATTATTTATAAATGCCAGTAACAGGTACAGTTACCCTACTTTCTATTTAATTTAAATATTTATCTTTAATAATCAAGTATAATACTAGATTAATTTTTTTATGATTTCGTAATTTATGATTTCAAAATTACTCTTGAAATATTACATTTATGTTAAAAAAAATTCATTAATAATATGTTTTTATTTTCTCAATTAATTAGATATTTCTCTGTAATGGCATAATTACATTTGTTGGTCTTTTTTTAAGTTTTTCTTATGTAATTCTAGTATTCTAGTATTATGTAATTCTAGTATATGTAATATTATAAGTTTTTCTTAAGTAATTCTAGATTTCTAACAGCACTTTTCATAACATACAAGTCATACTGTTACATATTGTTTTGTATTTAGTTTTAATTTTAGCATTTTTCATGTAATTTATTTTCTTGTCTATATTATTAAATCATTAAAGATGAGAATATGGATGTTGCTCAAGGCACGTTTCCCTGTTTTTCGGATGACGTTACTCAATTACCTGAGAATTACTTTAGTTACATAATCTCATATAATAAATATGTATTACTATATTTATTTTTATTTTAAAGTAACAAAATTGATTGCTTTGGTATCGGTGGGGTGCTGCAGCACCGTAAGCAGCCCCTGGATGCTCATCAGATATTTTGTTTCCTGTGATATTTTATTTTTGTTACTTCTAAATAATATCCTATTGTCATAGGCTCCTTTAATTGTAAATTGTTTTTTTTCTAAATTTTATTAACTTGACAAACATTTTTGAAATTGTCATCAGTTATACAAGTTAGAAGGAAGAACACTTTAATCATTTAATTTTTCAACTCAAATAAATTAAAATTTTTTTTTTTTTTATTAGACTTGCCGGAGGAAATGTTGAAACTAGATTTTTGAAAGATTTAATGACAGAATATTTTGTTGTTGCTATCCATCTTAAATACAATCAATAATTCCAGTGTTTGATATATGTTATTTGTCAAAGAATTCTTGTTATATCTTGTTATATGATATACTTTCTTTATTTTTTTATATAAATGTTNGTATGCTGTTATGAAACAATTATGTTAAATCGATATAAAAATGTACACTATCACAAACAGACATGTAACTTGCTATATCAGTATTGGTCCAACCATAAATGTGTTATGTTTGTAGAAAATAAAGACAAAGGTTTTTTGGTCCATACTTTTTCATTATTATATCTATTTTCTACAAACCTTTGTCTTTATCAATATAATAGTCTTAATTTGTATGTGTGTGTGTTATAACTCATGTTGTCTTTGTCCAATCCAGATAAAATTTTGCTCAGATGCTTTTTATGTTTCGGCTGAAAGTATAGGCTACTTTATTTGAAGATATATATATATATATATATATATCTTCAAATAAAGTAGCCTATACTTTCAGCCGAAACATAAAAAGCATCTGAGCAAAATTTTATCTGGATTGGACAAAGACAACATGAGTTATAACACACACACATACAAATTAAGACTATTATATTGATAAAGACAAAGGTTTGTAGAAAATAGATATAATAATGAAAAAGTATGGACCAAAAAACCTTTGTCTTTATTTTCTACAAACATAACACATTTATGGTTGGACCAATACTGATATAGCAAGTTACATGTCTGTTTGTGATAGTGTACATTTTTATATCGATTTAACATAATTGTTTCATAACAGCATACATGATAACATGATAACAACCTAGGATATCTTCAATTAAAAATTGAATTATGACTATTTACAAAAGTTATAAAATTTTCGAGTTTATCTTTCATCCTTTTAACACACCACAGAAGTAACAGTATATTGGCAGTAGCAGTTATGATCAGAAATTGTAACCATTGTTTTAATGTTAAAGGATGCCGAATCCTCAAATAAAAGGTCGGCGTTTCGATCATTTTTAACTTTGTGTGTTTTCTTTATAATTTATCACGTGTTCTAAAGAAGTTTATTCAAGCCAAAATACTGTTACTTCTGTGGTGTGTTAAAAGGATGAAAGATAGACTCAAAAATTTTATAATTTTTGTAAATAGTCATAATTCAATTTTTAATAATTGTTTCAGTTTTACAATGAGAAATGCTAAAGAGTGATAGTGCACATTTTTACATAAATTTGATATCTTAATACTGGTTGTGCTCTGCAGTACCAGGCCTGTACTTTGTATGGCAATATAATGATTGATTTGATTGATTGATTGCACTATCCTAACCAATCAAACAGATAGTGTGTTTGTTACATTGTTAAATTTGTTTAACAAAGTAATATACTATATGAATTTTTTTATGAGACTGATACATACAAAATCTGTAGAAGGTACAAAAATTGAATATCTCATATGACAAGTTTAAAATATTTCATATACCAATATTTATTCTCATTCAAAAATTTACATTAAAATTAATGATTGAGAAAAAAATTTATTAAAAAAATAAATTTTAATATTAAAAAATGGCATAGTTTTTTATAATCATTAAAGTATTGATTTAATTTTTGTACGTCAAACATAAAAGTTTACTTTTAAATAAAAGCACATAATTGGGTGCTTAGATACAATGGACACAAAATATCAAAAACTCCAGTAGCATTTTTTGAAGAAAACTAATGTTTTCAACTAGTTTTAGTAATCATACTGGGTTAGAATAAAAGAGCAAGAATTTGAATGTAAATTTCAAATGTATTGAACTTGCATTTGCTTAGTTGCAGTGTGATCGTCATTGCTGCTGTTTACAAACTACACCTTATCACAAGTATGGAGTTTTTTGAGGTTGATCAAACAAGGATTTCACTTGTAAACAGCAGCAATGATGATTAATGTTGTGTCCAATCAAATGCTTGTTCGATATGTTTGAAATTTATGTTTCAATTCTTGCTCTTTTAGTAATTATCCTTGGGTTAGAATAAAAGAATTTTGAATTTTTCTTTGAATTGTTAAAAATTACTTCTATTAGAAAAAATTTATATATTATTCATATATATATATATTTAATAAAATAATATTTATTTACATAATATATATATATAAATATTTACATAATATTTAACTTTTTGTTGATGATAATTTTTAAATTATTTATTGTATGTTAGTAGAGTTTGTAGCATTCTTTCTTATTTAGCATCTGAGATACATGCTTTCTATCTGTCTCTACATCTCTTGAGTTCACCATGTTCTGCCCAATTTTCCTTCATGTCATCACTTACTCTATTCAAGCAAATAATATCTGTGTNATTACATAAACCGTATAATCGACTTGTAATGAATTGGTGTTATTGCACTGTTACGGAAATCTGATCACTTTTAAATAATTTGACGTAAATATAATCAATTTTTCTATATTTATAAACGTTTATGAGTAGCTGTAAATATAAAATACTCTTTAAACTTAACGAAGAAAACAGTAAATTCATTAATAAGAGAATGGAAACAGTTCATAGATTAACCCAGAAAAGTGTTGTCGCAAACGATGTGCCTTCTCGAATAGTAATTCAAGTTTCAATACAAATAAGTGGAGCGAAAGCATAAGCCTATATGAAGGAACACGTCTCTAAATGGGAATTTACACAATTGCACTATTTGTTATACTACAACAGTAACAGATGCTGTCCTAATACTATTATGGTAATCAGGGTTTATTCCAACTATTCGGGAGTCGATGATGGATCAAGAGCTCTATAATTGTTTGAGGAACGTCAATCTGTTTGTCTTTCATCGTGGAAAACTAACATCTGTTGAATAGTACAGATAATTAAATGGACGAGAAATTGTAGAATAAAAAAAATAAAAAGAAAAATGGTATAAATATTATTCCAGTAAAATGTCTTTCTTTGATCGAATATCGAGTATCTTTAGCCATTTTGATTAAACTTCTAACGTTCTAAAAATGTTCGATTACATAAAGACATAGCAGTACAATTTTTAAATTTAAAACATTTAAATTCACTAGATATTAAATTTACTGTTAAAATACAAATATTTTATACTTTTATATATATATATATTTTTTCCTTTTCCGTGTTTAAACTTTTAAAATAAATGATATAAACTGAATTTCTTTAAAAACATAACATCCACATATATCATTTTTTTAACCGATAAAAATAATAAATGTCAAAAAGAACTTGCTTGTTCATCTTTCTGTTCTCGTTTCTCGTCTTAAAAAGCCAAAATGGACGAAGATTTCCATTTTGGGGTTTGTAAAATAAAAAAAAAAAAAAAAAAAAGAAAACTAATTCTAACCCATTATTCTTTCAATTAAAGTTTCTTGTCTCAAAATGTATTTACAATAGAATTTCCCAAACACTTAATTTGTGGAGATATATGTGGAGACTTATCACACTGTTATAGGAACATTACAATAACACTTTGATGTTTGATAAGTAACCTTTATTACTGGTATGCATTTGTGAACTGCTGGGGAGGTTGGCGGTCTCCCTTTCCGGTGAAAGGTCGTTAAACCTGCTCACTGTCAAGATGGCTTAAATGTTTCTTCTTCCCTTTCCCGCGGTAACGGGATTTAATTGTTCGGATCGAGTGGAGGAGGGAGGAGTGCCGTTGGTAAGGTGACAGGCGATATACGAGTAAACTGAGGACACCAATTTAACAAGGAAACAATGATTTATTAGCTATCTACATAGACGGTACAATAACTATTATCGAGGGAAATTTCTGAGTCCTTAAAACGCGAAGGGCCGAGAGAGAGTTCACAAAAATTTGTTCCATACCTCTTTAGGTTGATAGGTCTCTTGAGGAAATTATATTTTTCTCTTTGAGGAAAATAATAGACGTAGGACACAATATTAAAGTGACGGCAGATGAACGACTCCCCGAGAGGGGGAAGCAAGTGGCTTTTATAGTTTCGTCGTGGGAGAATGGTCATGTGACCAATTGTTGTGAGGTAAAAGGTACTCGGATGGGTCAAAGTTGTCCCCGGGCCCATGCTAACTATCAACTTTGAAGTTGGAATGTGGGATTGTTTTTGAAATGGACGGATGTTTACTTTGAAAGAAAGGGGAGATTGGAATTTTTCCCTTTTTTTAAGTTAGGTTTTATTTTAGAATTTAAAGGAAAATTTAATTGGGGGTTTAGAAAAATGCGGGATATTAATTGGAAAATTCGATAAAAATTCCAGATTTCACACATTTCAGTCACAAAGACCCCTTTCAGCTGTATATGAATATAATGATAACTACAACAGATATAAATTTTAATTTATATCTGTTGTAGTTATTATTGTATTCATGACTGAAATGCATACCAATAATAAAAGTTACTTATCAAACATCAAAGTGTCATTGTAATGTTTTTAATAACAGTGATAAGTCTCCACATATATCTCCACAAATTAAGTGTTTGAGGACTCCTATTGTGTCTAACCTGTTATATTTTGTGTTATAAGTTATACAGTTTTTTTTTCTTCTTTTAATCATACTGTTTTTATTACTGTCTATTTATTGTTTATGATAAGCATGTAGATTTCTTAATCTATGTTATTGAAGAGTAAATATATAGGATCACATTAACTGTAGGGTATTAAGGACTTTATTCCCAGTTTCTACCATGACTGTCAACAATGAGGAAGTTTTTACACTAGGCCCAATTTCATTATCTTACAAAACTTTTTAGAAGATACAAGTATATTCTGCTTATTTTAACTTTGCCATCTTTATGCAGATTCTTGTGTTAAGAATAGACAGTGATGCTCAAAGTATGAGAGATTAGGGTTCCATACACAACGTTTCCTTTAAATATTTCTTTAAAGGAACATTTTCTTTCTTCCTTCTTTTGAGACACCACTTAAAATATAGCAGGAACAATAAATGTCTTCATTATGTCCTTTCATACACCTTAGGAACAAAATTTTCCCAGTAAAGCTTCTGGTGTTTTTTCTGGTTTTTTGTCCTTGTTCTATTTTTTAATATCAATGCCATCCTGGCCAATGTGTTAATTAATATATTTTTATTATTTTATTTTGCCATCACCTTGGAAATTTTTAACTGCTTTTTGCATGTTATGGTGGATGAGTAGCCCTAATAAAATGTTTACTTAATAAGGAAAAAAGTTGTGTTCCTGAGGTATGTGAAAGGATGTAATAAAGACATTTATTACTTATTTTTAATATTTTTAAAATAATAATGTCATCCAGGCTAATGTGTTAATACAGACACCATCTACATATATATAGGTGTTTATATTAACACATTATATATTGTTTATTATGTATTAACACCTATATATAGCTACTACCACAAGAATGCTACCCAACAGACTGGCAGAACATCTGGATGACATTACACACAAGAAGAACATCACTAAAATTGTCAAGGAAACTTTGGATCATGTCTGAGCCCAATATTTATCATCAACAAATCATTTCATAAAGCAAACTTGTCTTTTTAATACTATTTAAATTTCAGTTTTATTTATGATTAAGATTATTATAATAAAGTTTTTCTTTAAATGATAAAATATTGTAAACTTAGTAAGTTTTTTTAAGTAAACGAATGGAATCAAACCCTTGGAAACATCGTCAATTGTATTGAATAAATTGAGATTTAGTTAGAATTTAGATAAAATGACAAATTTGAAATTATGTGCAAATATTTATTAATACATTTCATATTTTAATTTCAAATAATTAAATTAATGACTCTTTTTTTTTATTAGCCACTCTCCATGTGGGAGATGAAATCAAAGAAATTAATGATGTTAGTGTTGCTAATCAATCAGTAGATACGCTTCAAAAAATGCTGGTGAGTAAATTTATTCAAAATGTTTTTTGAAAAATTTGTGTTAAAATTGTACTTACTTTTTACAAAACTTAAGTAAAAATACACTGAACTATATTTTCTATACCATAACAGAAGTTGAACTTGGGTTTTATCTATAGATCATTCTGCTGCTGGCCACAAGTGGTCAGCTTTATGAATGAATTTATCAAACCTAAAAAGATTGAATCAAAGTTTTGTGTTGTATGGGTATTGGCTAAAAATAATAGGTTCATATATATAAACATTCAATCCATTAACCTGAATTTTAATTAAAATCAAACAATCTGCCAGATCATAGGCTTTATTAAGGCTAATTTTAATCACCATACATAAAGTAATTTGTTAATTAATAAACTGGAACTTTTTAATAAACACTGGCATGCACAAAAAACATCTTTCTTACTTATTCTCACAAAGTTTATTCTGAATTGTAAGCATTTTTGGCTGCATTTAGTGGCCTTCTTGAAATAAAAAGCTGTTCCGTCTATCAAACAGTCAACATTTGAAAAGATTTTTTGAATGTTTGATATATGGAACAGCATTTTACTTGAAGAAGGCTTCTAAATGTGGCCAAAAATGTTTGTAATTTACAATAAACATTACTGGAGTAAGAAGGTTTTTTTTATGAGTGTCAGTGTTTAAAGAAATTTGACTAGAGGTACGTGGTTAAACTCCCATCTTGTGATAAATTTATTAATTATAAGTAAATTCATTTTTAATTTTAATTTATAAAGATTTGGAATAAAAGAATTGGTCACACATCTAGTTAAATTACTTTATAAGAAATTTTTAAAATTATTCTTATCATAGTTTGATAACCTAGTAAATCATTTGGCCATAAATTAAGTTTACATGTTAAGTATAATATATAATAACAAGTCATTTATATTCACATTAAATAAACAGTAATATATTTTTAAATAATAATTTATATGTAATGATAAAAATTTCAAAGTCCTTTTCCAGCCTAGGATGGTGTTTAATGTTGTTAAAAGTTTTATAAAAATATAGTTCAATGTTGTTTAATTAATTAAAAACATTTGTGTAATAAAGAATTGATATTTATATTCAGACAATTATACATTCTTATATCAATGTGAAGATTGCTTTTGTATTCTTATGAGGAACAAATTCTAGTGAGTCTTGTGGATTATGGAACTTCCAGATAACCAGTAATAGAAAAATCCTGACATTTAAGTCTGTACATATTAGCACACACATAAGCAGAACAAACATAATTGGATTAAATGAACCCCATATAGTATCAATGCACTTTTTGGAAAACTTTTATAATGTCTTTTTACTTTTTTGTCTGTTATACATAACAGAGGGAAAGTATGGCAATCGGTCAAAAAATGACCCAAGATTTTTACATTTTTGGACTCATGACACTTTGAAATTTTGAGAAATGCCAAATAATTCAGGGGTAATTTCTATATGTACGGATGTTTGTGTGTGTGTTTTGTTAATCCTGTTTGAAGCTTAATAACTCCTGTGCTTTTTATTGAAAATTTCTGAAATTTTGCAGGGAATTTTGTTTATTAGGGGATTGATGCTGTTAAATTTTGGTGGTTAGAGGTTAAGGGACTCTCCCTTGACCTCTAACCACCAAAGTGGAGATAAAAAGGGTCGTGGTTATCTCCAGTAGGGTTGGACTTAATGACGATGTTGCTTGTTATTACCAGTTGCAATTTTTTATAAAATCCATCCTTACCCTGAAAATTAAAGCTCTTTGTCATTTTATAATAGTTAAAAATATAAAAAGGTTTTTTAATAAAATAAGATTACAGATGATGGCACCAAATGTTACCGGAAAAGTTTAGCAACTTGTTGCTGAATTTTTTCTTGTTTTATTTCTCGCTTAACTTTTTAACTCTTCCACAGTGCATTTCACATTACAAAATTTTAAAAAATTATTCCTAATTAATAGAAACATTATTATTAATACTATATATTAAAACAAAAAAACAAAAAAGTATAGTATATTTTGTTTTAATGAAATAAATGGAATTCTGTGATTTGCTATGATGTGAATTTTATGTTTGTCTGCAGGTATAAACTTGTCTACTCTGAATTATTAACATTAAACTAAATAATTAATTACCAGATAGATTATCTTTAGAAAATTATATAGGCAATTAAATTTCTAACCTAAGTATAGCCAAATAAATCTGGCAGTTAGATATTTGACTTAAGATTTTTCTTTCTCATTCAGATAGTTAATGAATTGTGGTGATAGAAAATTTTTAAAAAATTTTAGAATATGGATAATACAAAACACACACACAAATAAAAAATATGAATTTTTTTAAAGCAAATGCTCTGCCGTATTATCATGCTAGATAACCTAATAATATGGCAGATCATTTGCTTTAAAAAAATTTGATTATTGGATTGAATGTTAAAAATAATTTAATCAAAATAATTTATTCTATAAATATTAAAACACTAACCTTTAACTTCAGCCAACAAACCTTAATATCAGAATGTTTTCAAATTTTACCAGGCCCTCTTCAATGCTTCTAAATGCAACATCTTTCAAAAGAACATTTTCTGACACGAATATTATCTTGGATTTTTTAAACATAGAGCATGCCGGTGCACATTAACTGAATGATCCTTTGAAATTCAGACATTGGAACTTGTAAACAAATGTCTTTTTGGAAGATAGCATATTCTAATGGAGGAATAACATTTAAAAGAAAACAAATTTACATGGTGTATAGTTCAAAAAATGGTGTATAAAAACAAGTAGTATGAAATCAAAATTCAAAATAAACAGTAAATCAAAATGACAACAAAGAATAAAAACTAATCCAAATTTATTATAATTCAAACAGAGTTTTCCAGGTTGTGAAAATGAAATTATGGTTCTTAAAATTAATGCACTCACTCTGCTTTTCTTTCAGAAAAGTAAATTTTCAGATGTGTCAGGGACTTTAAATTGCCTTTTTCTCTTACCAGACAGATTAAAGAAGCTTTATTAAACAGAACTTTGGTTCCAGGTTTCAAAAATGATGATATCTCTATATAAATGTTTATTTATGAGATCCAGTATTTAAATTTCAAAGGATCAGTTTGTTACTGGAATGCTCTATATTCAAAAAATTTCAGGTAATATTTATGTTGAAAAATGTTCTTTCAAAAGATGTTCCATTTAGAAGCACTGAAGATAACTTTTAGCCAATTTTCATATTACTAATTACAATAAAGCATGACTTTTAAAAAATAATCATTAAATTCTAAGAATCTCTGGAGTTGCCAATATTATTTTGAAATCAAATATTACCTAATGTGTTTCTGGCTACATATTATTATCTGTCTAAAATGCTTATTTTCAAGTAGCCAAATGTTTAAATCTTTCAAAGAGGAATGTTTTTATTCTATTTTAGGATAGCTTCAGCTTCTTAACATACACAAGTCACTGTTCCAACTGGATTCAAACATTTTTCACATATCAAACAATATTTCAAAGCAATCCATTTTCAAACTTTGTCATTTTTGATGGATTTAACAATAATTCAACTATACATTTTCACTCTAATTTGTTAAAATCAAACCTGACCATAAGCAGTGTTAACATTGCTTCCCAGTTCAGCTAAAAGTGTTAAATTTCACACTTATATTACACTTCCTCCTTCATTCTTCTGTCTTGCAATCCTTTAACTATATCCTTCTAATTTATTGTTTCTAGTACTCTCATCCATCTGGTATCCAGTATTTTTAAATCCTGTGCATTAATGATGCTTAGATGCTTTTGTAAGAAGCAAATGAAACATTGCTCCAGAATTTGTGTATTCTTAATGTCGTATCAGCTTCTAAGTACAACAGGATGTTTCCAACATACTTCTTCTTTTCCTAGGGTCAATTGCATTAAAACTGATCTGTCCATGGGGTATGGGTAATGAATTTGAAATGTTCTTTGACCCTGAGATTCATTGACCTGAAAGTGGATCCTACGTAGAAATATTTGTTACTCCGTTTGCTTAATTCAATTGCGTAAATTCCTGGCTTTTTAACGTTTTCTGTTTTAATTATCTGTGTGATCGAGGGTATTCTTTTAATTACTATTTGGATGTTAAATTTTTTTGCTAGCAGTGTTATCATTTTTGATATAGTTTTGCTGGATACTATACAATGCTTTTTAACTTCTTCATTACTTTTATCTGAGTTGTTGTTTTTCTATGTGCCTCTTCATATGGAATCCTGCAAAAAGTGATATAGGGGTTGATAAAAGCTTTTGGGTTGTCTAAATCAAACAGATGGACATAAAAAGCAAATGACAAATGAGGTAAAAAATGAGGAAGTTAAAAAGAATTGCATAGTATCCAGCAAAACTATATCAAAAATGATAACCCTGCTAGCAAAAAAATATAACATCCAAATAGTAATTAAAAGAATACCCTCGATCACGCAGATAATTAAAACAGAAAAAGTTAAAAAGCCAGGAATTTACGCAATTGAATTAAGCAAACGGAGTAACAAATATTTCTACGTAGGATCCACTTTCAGGTCAATGAATCTCAGGGTCAAAGAGCATTTCAAATTCATTACCCATACCCCATGGACAGCACAGTTTAAATGCAATTTTCCCTAGGAAAAGAAGAAGTATGTTGGAAACATCCTGTTGTACTTAGAAGCTGATATGACATTAAGAATATACAAATTCTGGAGCAATGTTTCATTTGCTTCTTACAAAAGCATCTAAGCATCATTAATGCACAGGATTTAAAAATACTGGATGCCAGATGGATGCGAGTACTAGAAACAACAAATTAGAAGGATATAGTTAAAGGATTGCAAGACAGAAGAATGAAGGAGGAAGTGTGATATAAGTGTGAAAATTAACACTTTTAGCTGAACTGGGAAGCAATGTTAACACTGCTTATGGTCAGGTTTGATTTTAACAAATTAGAGTGAAAATGTATAGTTTGAATTATTGTTAAATCCATCAAAAATGACAAAGTTCGAAAATGTATCGCTTTGAAATATTGTTTGATATGTGAAAAATGTTTGAATCCAGTTGGAACAGTGACTTGTGTATGTTAAGAAGCTGAAGCTCTCCTAAAATAGAATGAAAATGTTCCTTTTTGAAAAATTTAAACATTTGGTTACCTGAAAGTAGGCATTTTGTACAGATAATTATTATAAAACATTAATATTTAAAAATAATAGTTATAGCATAATTGTTACAATAAAATATTAAATACATATACATAGATGATGAAATTGTTAAATTATAATATAAGATTTAATTAATATTTTAGAGAGATGCAAGAGGCAGTGTAACACTCAAGATTATTCCTAGTTATTATAGTGGTCCAGCATCTTGTGAGGTAACATTTTTATTCTGTAATAATTATTTTTAATTCTCATATTTAATTTAAATAAGCAATACAAAACATGAAAAACATCTTATTTATGATGAATTATAAAACATCCTGAAATTAATGTTAGGTTTTTTTGATCAGCAATTTCAAACAGATATCAATGTTTCAACAGCTGAGGCAGTTAACACATCAGCCTAAACTCTAATCCCCAGAGTGTAAGCTGATGTGTGTAATTCAGCAATCTTAGGATATTATCATGAGTAATCTGTCCTGGATATGTTATGTCCCTCACCATCCAGCCATCCCATTATGAGGCTAAACACATGATGGGTATGGAAAAAAGTTTGTCTTATTTAAAGTATATTTGCTGGTATATTTTTGAAGGTTTTGTTGGTGTTATTTACTAATATATAACCAATTGTGGGAAGATTTAGGTCTTTCTTATTGGCCATAGGGCAGAAAAAATTAAAAACAAAAAATCTAACATGAATCTTTAAAATGTATTTAGCAATTTTACTTAAAATTCTTTATTTTTAAGTCATTGTTATAATATTTTTTTTAAGTTAAAGAAGTTCTACATAATTATTTACTTGTCAAATATTAGTTTACTATTTTTTTTCAGCATAAATTTAATTTCGAGTTACATTATTTGAAAATTTTTATATTTAATTAATCCAAATTTATTTTCAGGGATGTTTTTCATGATAATCATACAATTATAATAATATTATTAAATTAATTTTAACGAATTTTAATATATTTAGAAAGGTAAAATCTGCAAACTTAAAATGAGTTATTTGAAATGACATGAAACAAGTTTTTGAGAAGTAATCGCATCATTTATTACTTTTGTTTTTTCCTAAAATTTAAGATTTTCAAAATATCCATTAAATGTATCATTAAATTATAAAAATTTCAAATATTATTTTAGCTAAATTAATTTTAAATTTTCTGAGTGTAATAATAATTTAAAGTTTATTTTATCTCAACAAATGTAATCAAAATATAATCATCAAAGGATATTTATACAAAAATTTAATTATATTNATAAAAATTTAATTATTAATTATACTATTAAAGATATTTTTTTAATTTGTTTGGAATTATATAGATTTAAATTTGTTGTTTTTTTCTTAGATAATGGCACAATTTAATTATATAAAAAATTTTCTAATTATGGTTTTGAAAAAATGAGATTTTATTATATAAATAAATATTCTTTTTTTAAATCCAAATTAATTTTTTTTTAAAAGTTTATATGATATAATTTTTTGATGTGAAAAAATAAATGTACAAATTCTGTAAAATTAATTTATTTGTGAATAACAGAACAGGAAATTTCAATTACAGAATTTCAAATATTAAAAGATTTTTCAGTTTTAAGTATTAGTAAATATAGAAAGTATTTACAGTGTATACAGATTTTAAAGTGGTAAAATTTAAAATATTATATGTTCATTTTGTTGATGAAAAAATAATATGAAAAAATCTCAGTGTTAAATATTACATGAGAACAAATGGCACCAAGCACATTTATTAAACATTTTATTATTTTAAAATATAAGCAATGTCTTGAGGACAATATTTGCACCTGAATACAACAAACAATTAATGAAAACCATTAAAATATGTATTAAAACAAATTATTGAAGAAAATAAAAATATAATCAGGTTTAAATATTTTCTAAGCATAATAGCATAAACTTAAGACATTAAAGAAATTATTAATAAAGAATTTAATTGTTAGAATAACTATAATAACGACTAAAAACTAGAAAAAAAATGGGTGTATTAATATCTCTTGATTCTTATCAAAGGATGTTAATGATTAAAAATAGCATGTTAACTATAAAATATCATTACACATTCAAGATTTAAAAGTATGAAAAGTAATATTGTTAATAATTCAAAATAAAATAACAGAATGTGTAATAAATTAAACTAAATTAATTAAGATAAATTATAACATTGAAATTATAAATGTGGATAAATAACCAGTCAGGGCAACCTTCCATGCTGTTGCTTTAAACTGGTTATTTATTAATCCACTCTTATGTATTGGGAAACGAATTGTCATGGAATTAGGATGGACACGTGTATTTACCCTTGGAGCAAAAATTTATATAACAATAGCTCAAATCCATGAATTTAAAGGAATAGAACTAATATATATTTGTGATTTTCTCATTGTACTTTAATAGTTTTGATGATATAAACAAAACACCAAATGCTTGCTGAGCTTATTACTACAGTTGTCCCTTGATAATCCGACAGGTATGGGACCAAAGGTGTGTCAGATTACCAAAAGTGTCCGGATTACCGAAAATAATTACCTATTTCGCATTGTTTTGCTAGCAGTAACTTACAATATTCTCTACTACAACTGTTCGAACAGAACTGCTCACATAAAACACACGAAATGTGTGTCATCGA